TTCCAAGAAACGAGGGGACTATCTGTATACGGTTAAAATCGGGCCTACCCGATTCTACTATTTGATCGAGACCAGGGAGTTGCATCGAAGGTCGGCACCGCAGTGGATCAGACCGGAGCACGAGGACGAGGTACCGAGGTCAAGAATCGAGGTGCCTGTCGAGATCGAGGCTAGTAGCAATCGAAACCAAATAGGGCAGACGTCGAGCAAAGCACAATAACAGAAAAGCGAGATATCAGTGACTGGTCGAAGATCATGGCGGAAATCTCGGAACAGATCAAATCAAGGGTGGTTGTTTAGGCTAATCATGAGATTTACTTCCCTAATTAAAATTGTACCATAGATAGGATTCATCTACTATATAAAGAGGGTTCTAATCATTTTGTAAGCACCTTACATTCACGCATATCAAAGCAATACAATACTTTCTGTCCAATTTATATTCTTGTTCATTTGCTTGTTATATTTCTAATTGTTCTTGCACCTATCAATTCGAGGGTATTCAAGCTCGAGGGCTGAATTCCGTTCAAACACTGGTTTGCTTTATATTATTGTTAATTTCTATTATTACTCTTTACATTTATCAACTTGTATTAGGTAAAATCACGTTTCCTTAAAACTACATTATAATTTAATTGTTATCCAATTTTAAAGGTAAACACTACTTATTAAATGTATAGCTTTGGACTTAACAACTTATTTATGATTTATTTGAGTCATACAATGATATCAAATTGTTATATCCCTGCAAAGAACACGTTAAGAATACTATTCTTGAACTATTTAAAGAATTCCACTAGTACAGTAAGTTTGAATCATTTTAAAAAGAGTGAAATATGTGCTTTTCTCATCTCAGTCTATAGAATTGTTAACTTTACATTTTTTTATTGATTTACGTATACTTTCACCAAAATACCATTACACCTACAACTATTCGCAAGTGGAGTAGCAGCACACACATTATCTTATGATCCTCTCATCCACTAGACAGTAATTATGGTTCTCACTTGGAGCAGTACACACATTATCTTATGATCTTCTCATCAATAAGTTCCCATATATATTTGTAACTTTAGGTCACTATGACCTAGGAATAGTAGTCATTTGAATTGTCACGCTGGATACTTTGAGAAAAGTCAAACTGTTCCAATTTGTAGGGATAACTACTTATCAAATATACTTGACAAAATAAAGGAACAATAAAATTTGTTCCTGGTAGAATAAGAGCAATAGCTATTTTAGATATTTGCATATTCGACCCATAACAACTATATTATCGACAATAACAGTCAAACACGCAAGTGATAGAAACACTAATTAATGTCTGATTAATGTTTTTAATAAACCCAATGTTAAAATTGATCAGTCAAAAAGTAATTAGTTGAAATAATAACTTCGCACACCATTCTCTGTGTTATATTTGTACCGGGTGTACAAAGGAAACCAACAAATTGTACCAACCCGATAATCTGAGTTAAATCGGGAAAAAAAAATCAACTATAGTTTGGTTTGATTTAGTTTGGTGTTGGAAAAAAACCCGACCATAATTGGTTTGGTTTGGTTTTAACTAAAGAAAGTCAAACCGAAACCAAACCAACCCGACATTACATATATAGAAATNTAATCTGAGTTAAATCGGGAAAAAAAAATCAACTATAGTTTGGTTTGATTTAGTTTGGTGTTGGAAAAAAACCCGACCATAATTGGTTTGGTTTGGTTTTAACTAAAGAAAGTCAAACCGAAACCAAACCAACCCGACATTAAATATATAGAAATTTTAGATATATTTAATATATAAATATACTTATTGTGATGTAATTTATAAATATTTCTTAAAAAATTTCATAATTTTATCTTTTAAGATATTATTTCAAGGTTGGACTTAGAACTTTTGGATGTTCCAATAAGTTTTATAGTCATTAATATTAGTAAATTAAATAATGCTAATAAAAGCCTAAACCAAAATCAAATCAATACTAATGCTAACAAAAGACATTCATTTTAATACTACGAACATGAATGTATTGAATATCTATTTTTTCTTTTGCAATAATTTAGATAAAAATGCATAACCTATTTTTATTTTTTCTTTAGCATTTAGTCATGTAATTAATACTCCCTTATTAGTCTACTTATTTTAACATGACTAAGAACTTTTAGATTATGTTTATTTTTATTATGGTTTTTTTAATTAGCAATGTTTATATACATAATATTATTGTCTTTATTGTTGAATATTTTAGGATAATGCCATGACACATCTCATATTTTGTATTATTTTCTTGAAAAATACTTTAGATAGTTGTATCTTACTAGGATTAAAGAAATATTTTGAGCACAAGTTATGTGTTTTGTTCTACGAAGATTTTACCGAAAAAAATCCGAGAAAACCTGAATAACCCGAAAACCGAGAAAAACCGAAAAAAATCGAGATTGAAAAACCTGAGTTTTATTGCTTTGGTTTAGTCTTTAAATTTAATAATCCGACACAATTGATTTGGTTTGATAATTATAAAATCCGAACCAACCCGACCTATGTACACCCCTATTTGTACCTTTGAAAGTCTTTTGCAACCCTCTGTCCTCAAATTACATCTGTCTATATGTCCTTTAAATAATACCAATACTTCAAAAAACGTAAGAAAACAGTAAATATTTGAATGTTGTAAAATAAAGATCATAAAGTAAATAAACCGAAGACAAGTATGGAAAGATTGATATATTATGCAATTTCAAACTGATGTACATAATGAACTGAAATCTCCTCTATTTATAGAAGAAAGAAAGCAGTTGCGAGGCTTTTTAGGAAACAGCTCCGAGGCTTTTCAGTAGCTGCTTGTAAGCTGTCTGCATGAACTACTCGCAACTAATAAGAAGCTGCTACAAGTCATTTTATTGAGTTGTTTGCAACCTGCCTGCATCAGTTGCTTATAGATAAACTTCAATGAAATACTAAATGGATAATCTTATTCAGGAAAATTATTTACGACGGAGTATTAAATGAACATCCATAATATAATAGTTTCATAACATGAAATGAATAGCTTTTTTGTTTTGTTTTTTTTCTTTTGCGGTCTCTAAATATTAGAACCTGTTTCGTCACCTGTTCCGTCATGCTTTGCCAGTAAGTTTTGTACGCCGCTTATTTTACTAGAATTACGTGCTTGTAGGAGTGGTAAACGGGCGGGTCAGATCGGGTCGGATATGGTTCAAATCAAAAACGGGTAATGAAAAAACAGATAAATTATCCGACCCGAGCCATATTTAATACGGATAAAAAATGGGTAACCATATTATCCATGACTTCTTGTATATGATCACTTTTGGGAGAATTTTTAGTCTCCCTAACTTGAGAACCCCCAATTTGAGGATTTACAAATGTAAAAGTTAGACTCATTGATTATCTATTGGTTATTCATTTTCTAAATGGATAATATGGTTCTTATCCATATTTGATCCGTTTTTAAAAAATTCATTATCCAATCCATTTTTTAGTGGATAATATGAGTGGTTAACTGTTTTCTTTAAACCATTTTGCTACCACATATGTGCTTGTATGTATAGCAAATATATGAGGGCGGCTAGCGATCGAGTAGCTCTAGAAAGAAAAAAAAGAAGAAAGTTTAATATAAAAAGCTAGGAACTGGTTCCAAACTTTGATTATGCCATACGTAATCAAAAGTTCAACATAAAAGAGCTAGGATTTGGTACCCTTCACATCTTATATGAAATTAATCAACGAAGTGTCAAGAATAGATAGAAATCATGAATGTAGCATGGTCTTTTAGGTAGTCTCTTGCGAAAGGAATTTAGTTTCGAAGACTACAAACATTCAGTACAAGTCTTGAGCTTGATTAAATGCACTCTTCGATTTTAATTGCCCCCAAAACAGCTCTCACCTTCTTCTTTTTTCTGAAATGTTTCTAGTTCCTAAAAGAATGGAGTATTTCTCTTTCCTTTCTCCAATAAATGTGATTGCCAAAACAGAGAACTCTTTTGAAAACGGACACTCATAATATTTTTTGGTAATTAAGGAATTTTATTACCAAGTAAATATTTACAGCATACACCAAGAGAATAAAAAAAAAATGCACTCTCTTTTGTTGGACATGAAGCCCCAACATAAGATTTCTTCACTACCCCCTAATCAACTACACCCCTTCCTAGATTATACTGGATACCAGTTCATAGTACTTAGGTAGACTTTCAGTTTTTTACAAGTTTGAGCACGTATATGAATCTCCTGTACTATCATTTTCACTATACTCACTACATTAATTTTTTTTCTTTTGAAATATACTATTATTCCTAGTCTGCCAGACGTAGTAGACAACTGCAGCCAAAGTAATTCTGTATAGCTCTGCTCCAGCACTCTTTCCTGTTGCTTTCTCCACTGCCCATTGCACTTCTTCATGTCATTGTTTCTTCCTTCTCACGATCTCTTGCCAGTGTGACAATTTCTGCCATATTTCCCATGATACTTCACACTCAAAAAATAGATGTTGTACTGTTTCATTGCTCCTTTGACATATTGAGTATACTGTTTCATCAACTAAACCCCATCTTGCAAGTCTGTCCTTGGTAGCTAGTCTGTCTAGAATTGCCAGCCTTATGATGAAAATCCATTTAGGCATTCCCTTGTTGTTGCATACTAGACCTCTCCATGGCACCTTTTAGAAGTCCTTTTTTGCAGTTTTTTGAACAGCTTTTTGGTAGAAAATTTGTCTATCTGCTTCACATCCTTTTCTGAATATCCTGCCTCTTCAAATTGTGTCTTTGCTTTAAAAATATTCTGTATTACCAGGATGCATTATTTGGCTTTGTGTCCCAAATACATTTCTCTTTTATGTAGTACGTATGAACCCACTGCACCCACATTTTCTCCTTCTTTTTACATATGTTCCATAGCAATTTACATATAGATGCTTTGTTCCATAGCTCTATGTTTGTGAAATTTAGTCCCCCTGCCGATTTAGGTACACATAACTTGTCCCAAGCTATCAGTGCCTTTTTTGTTGGCTCAGCATTCTCCGACCATAAAAACCTTCTGCATATTGTCTCAATGAACTGTATAATTTTCTTTGGTAAATGAAGACTTGTGCCCAGAAGTTTTGGATTGTACCTAATACACTTTTGATCAATGCAGCTCTCCCTGCATAGGATAGGAATTTGATTGTCCAGCTTTGCACTCTACTCAGCATTTTATCAATCAGTGGCTCGCATTGGATTGTTGATATTCTTTTTGTACTCAATAGGACACCAAGATATCTAAAAGGTAGATCACCTTTAGTATATCCTAGTATTTCCAGGATCATTTGTTGCACCCTGTTGTCTACACCACCAAAATAAATACTGCTCTTGCTTGTATTTGCCACTAGTCCAGAAGCTTTAGAAAATCTTTGAAACTGATTGTGTATTTCCACCACAGATTTTTTCTCATCCTTGCAGAATAATAGTAGATCATCAGCAAATCCCAGCTGTATGAGATTCATTTTAGCACACCTTGGATGGAACCTAAAGTTTTTGTTGCTTCCTAGTTGCTTTAGCAATCTACATAAGTACTTCATTGCAATGACAAACAGCAATGGTGAGAGTGAGTCTCCCTGCCTTAGTCCTCTTTTTGCTTCAAATGGCTTGATTCGCTTTCCATTGACAATGATTAAGTATGATCTTATGCTAATGCAGGCCATCACCCATTTTACATACTTCTCTGGCAGTCCCAACAGCCTCATTACCTGTTCCACATACACCCATTCTACTGAATCATAAGCCTTATGTATGTCAATCTTTAACATACATCTGGGTGATATATTCTTCCTCCCATAACCTTTGATCAATTCATGGCTCATTATAATATTATCAGTGATCACTCTACCTGGTACAAAGGTTGTTTGGCAATTATCTATCAACTCTGGCAAGACTTCCTGCAGTCTGGATGTTAAAATTTTGGATATGATCTTGTATAGAACAGTGCAACATGATATAGGTCAGAACTCTTTAATATTACTGGGATTTTTCACTTTTGGTATTAGTATTATAGTTGTGCAATTGATTTGCTTACACATCTCTGGGTTCTCAAAGAATTCCAATACACCTTGAGTCACCTCCTTCCCTATAATATGCCATGATTTCTTGTAGAAAAAAGCATTGTATCCATTACGGCCTAGGGCTTTGTTGTCATCAATATCCTGAAGTACTTGCTTAACTTCTTCTTCAGTTACTGCTCTTATTAGACTCAATTGTTGCTTCCTGTTCAGGTTGATCCCCTGCTTCATCACTTCTGAACTTACTACTGGCAATTGCATTACTGCTGTTCCAAGTAGTTGCTTAAAAAATTTTAGAATCTCAGTTTCCACATATGTAGCTGTATTTAGTAATTGACCTGAATTATTAAACAAACTACCAATATGGTTAATGGCTTGCCTACTCTTAGCACAAGCATAAAAATATGTTGTATTTGCTTCTCCCAGTTTGAGCCATTTGATCCTTGATTTTTGCTTCATTATGCTTTCCTCAATTCCACTCCATTTAGCTAGCTCCTTCTTTGCCTTTTTTTCTTGTGTTATACTTTCAGTATTGCAGCCATGTCTATCAATTTGCTTCTGAATCCCCTCCAACTTTATTCTTGCTTCTTGAATTCTTTGCACAGTATTGCTAAATTCTTTCCTATTCATCTGCTTCAGTTTGTTCTTTAGTATCTTGAGTTTCCTCCATACTTTGTTCATTGTGTTCCTTCACCTCTTTTTCTTCAGCATTCATACACAGCATCCTCAAATTCTTTATGTTGTACCATACAATTAAAGAACTTAAAAGGTCTTCCTCCATATTGTTGCTCATAGTCCAGTGTTATACTTAATAGGCAATGATCTGAAAACTCAGGTTGCAGTACCCCCCTTCCATTACAGGCCATTTTTGGATCCATGCAGCATTAACAAAAATTCTATTAATTTTACTGTGGACATGATTATTAGTCCACGTAAACTTCCTTCCAACTGTTTTTAGTTCAGTTAATCCATTTTTCCAGATGAATTCTTTAAAGTCTTTCACTTCAAATTCCTGCACTGGTGTCCTTTGACCCATGTCTTCATTAGTTAAGATGGTATTGTAGTCCCCCATTAACACATAAGGATCAGTAATACCAGCTATAGCTTTTCCCATATCTTCCCATAATATTTTCCTATCCTGTATAGTATGCATACCATGAATAGCACCAAATTTGAATTTGTTACCACTTTGCATCTCTGTAACCCCCCTATTATATATTGTTGATGCATTTCATAGCACTCAAAGTCTACCCTTGTCTGATCCCAAGCAATCCATATTCTACCACCTGGAGCATTTGTATAGTTTGTTATCCATCTCCAACTATTAAACACCTTCTTTTTGACACCTTCAGCCTTTGTTTCTTTAACTCTATTCTCTAAAACAGCCATTAGTACCACCTTATTCTCCCCAATAAATTTTTTTAGTTCTTTTTGCTTATACACCTTATTCAGTCCTCTAACATTCCAAGCTATGATGTTCATCATTATATATTTCTTTGATTCATGTTATCCCCTCTGCCGCTGTCTCTAGGCAGTTCCCTCTCTTTGTCATGCTCCCCTGTCATTTGAACTAATCTTTGTGCAGTGTCTACCAAGGCTTTGAAAGCATTGCCAGTGTTGATTTCCTTCCCATCTCTCCCATCTCCATTCTTCTTTGAAGCAGACTTGCCTTTTGCCAATTGCCATTGTTCTTCACTTGAGTTGTTACTCTGAATCCCTTCACTATTCTCTTCCAATTGCTCCAGGAATCTGCCTATTGTATCAATTTTATCAGTCTTTGGGTCTAGCTTCCTCACAACTTTTCATATCTTTTCCTGATTCTGCATACCATATGTTTGTTGTCCCACATCTTGATTCTGCATTTTCTTGTTGTGGCATGAGTGACCAATTTGACAGCAAGTTTGATAGTATTGGGGTTTCCAGTCATATTATACCATTTGCTCAATCACATTACCATTAGGATCAATCAGTTTAATTGTCCCTGATAGAGTCCTTGTGTCACACCTCCTTTTTACACACCCGAAGGTAGTACAAGGGAGTTTTTCCAATTAAAGTGATATTATTCGAAATGGGATTAATTTATTCAATTTTGTTCAGAGTCGCCACTTGGGATAGTTTATTTGGTGTCCCAAGTCACCGATTTATTTTAAATCCCAAATCTAGGAAAATTTTGACTTTCCTTTTTGAAGTCTGCGAACCAGAAATTCTGAATAAGGAACTCTGTTAACCTGGGGGAAGGTGTTAGGCATCCCCGGATTCCGTGGTTCTAGAACGGTCGCTTAAACTATTATAACTGGCATATTATCTGATTTTAATACATGTTTTAAACTATTGTGCATTTTTTCCTTATAACCGCATTTATTTAATTATTGTTACATATTGTGAATCATGTCACGAGAGCCGTACTCACGATCTACAACATATTTAATTTTTTTAAAGATTAAATTGTGGCCAGGTCACATAACTGTACCCCGGATTTTAGTAACTAGGTGTCACAAACTACGTTACGGGAACCGTACCCGTAGCTATGACAATTATTCAATTAACGCACCTAAAGCAAACTACGAAAGTTCAAGCCAATTTCTATTTTTTTAGCTTGCGTTTTCTATCTCTTTTATACATATACATACTTCAAAAGTTTTTGTAAAAAGGAAGATATATATTTAAATTTGCTCGACTTATGTAACTTATTGTACAAGTCATGAAAATACATAGACTAGTAAAAAAGGATTGGATAAATCAGGAGACAAAAAGTCCAAGAACAAAAAAACGTGAGGCAGAGAGGATAGGGGGCAAATTTTGACGTTAAACTAATCAAATAAATAAAGTANGTGTTAGGTGTGAATTCAGGTGTGCATTTTCAGAGAAGCTTCCGTGGTAAAATGAGTGTGTGCGACCGTTTTTCTTGGGAAGAAAGGGTGAGATCTGTTGTATTTGTCTGTTGGTTGGAGAAAAAAATCCAAGAAGAAGAAGAGAGCTCTTTTCTATATATAATTTTTTTAAGGTGAGGTCTTGATGTGTGTGTTATAGGTAGAGAGCATGATGAAGAGTGGGTGGAGGAAATATTTTTTTTGGGGAGAGTGGAGAACATGAGTGGGGAAAGTTGGGAGAGTGGGGAACATGAGTGGGGAAAATGGGAAAAGTGGGTAGTGAGTGGAGAAAGTGGGGAAAGAGGGTAGTGAGTGGAGAAAGTGGGTAGTGAGTGGGGAACAAGAGTGGGGGAAATGGGGAAAGTGGGTAGTGAGTAGAGAGAGTGGGGAACATGAGTGGGAAAAATGGGGAAAGTGGGTAGTGAGTGGAGAAAGTGGGGAAAGTGGGCAGTGAGTGGAGAAAGTGGGGAAAGTGGATAGTGAGTAGAGAAAAGTAGGAATAAATTGAAACATGGTCAAAAATAAGCTGCTCACAGCTTCCCCTCTTTGCTCGAAAACATGAAGAGTTTTCGGGCAAAGATAAAGTGAGCAACTACAAGCAATTTTTGCCCGTTTGAAACTCCATTTGGAAGCATTTTGGAAAGGTTTGACCGAACCTTGCTTCGGAGGTTGCCTACATATCCTTGGCTATAAAGAAATCAGGTCGGTGTAGTTCTGAAAGTTTTGGTAGCTGGGATTACCGGGAAACTGTGGTTTCACTGCTGTTGCTGCTGTTTCTGCTTGCTGAGCTCCTTATTACACAAAAAAATGGAAAAATAAAAAGCTAAACTAGCTAAGCCTATCAACTATGAGTTACAAGATTCTCATCTATTAGTTTTTTGAAGCTTGATATTGAGTCTTAGCTGGTTCTTGTTGTTGGACTCCGATCTGAATCTTGATGCTCATTAGCTGCAATCGCTGGTTCATTCTTCAGCTTTTGGATCAAGGCAGGACATGCGAAGCTTGTGACTTCAATCCTATCTTAAGCAGTCCGCATCTTTTCTCCGCTTCTGCACTTTAGAGCTCACTTATTTTTTCTTGTTTTTCTTTTCTTTTATTTGAAAAGAGACTTCTTCTTTTGGTCGCCTCGAAACTTGTCCCTCAAGGTAAAAACCTGCTTAGGCACCAAAACAAACAAACAAACGAAATTTTTCTGCCCCAGTTTTCACTAGGAAAATTTTGTGAGTTATTGCAACAAAATCTAAATTATTTCTTTATTGAAAGCAATAAAATCGGGATTGTGTATCCCAGAGAAAAAGAGATTATGGAATGGAGACCCTATATCTAAAATGAAATCAAATGGGGATCAGAGGCCCCAAGTTGGAAAGATTACCAGGTTATGCTGGAAAAAATGATCGGGTTATGCCGGAAAGGTCTTCGGGTTATGCCGGAAAAGAAAAAGGTCCTCGGGTTATGCCGGGGAAGACCACGGGTTATGCTGGGAAAGTCATCGGGTTATGTCGGGAAAGTCATCGGATTATGCCGGAAATAAAAAAGGTCCTGGGGTTATGCTGGGGAGGTCCACGGTTTATGCCGGGAAATTCATCAGGTTATGCCGGAAAAGGAAAGGTCCTCGGGTTATGCCGGAAAAGAAAAAGGTCATCGGGTTATACCGGGGAGGTCCACGAGTTATGCCGGGAGAAAAGAATAAAAAAGGTCTCTGGGTTATGCTAGGGAGGTCCACGGGTTATGGCGGGAGAACATGAAAAAGGTCTCTGGGTTATGCCAGCGAAGTCCACGGGTTATGCCGGGAGAGTCATCGGGTTATGCCGGAAGAAAAGAAAAAAAACGGTCCCTGGGTTATGCTAGGGAGGTCCACGGGTTATGCCGGGAGAAAAAGAAAAAGGTCCCTGAGTTATGCCAGGGAAGTCCACGGGTTATGCCGGGAGAGTCATCGGGTTATGCCGGAAAAGAAAAAGGTCTTCGGGTTATGCCGGGGAGGTCCACGGGTATACCGGAAAGGTTCATCGGGTTATGCCGGAAAAGAAAAAGGGTCCTCGGGTTATGCCGGGGAGATCCACGGGTTATGCCGGGAAAGTCATCGGGTTATGCCGGAGAAAGGAAAAGGTCCTCGGGTTATGCTAGGGATCAACTAGAGAGTGGAACTCAATACTAAAAGAGACTACCAGGTTATGCTGGCAGTGACTAGGGAATGAGACCCTAGGTGGGAAAAGATTACCAGGTTATGCTGGCATCGACTAGGGAATGGGATCCTATGTTGGAAAGGACGTAGCTGGAAATTGGAGACCCTATGCTACCATGATTTTGAATTTCTCTTCTTCTTCTTTTTACTTTTTATCAATCTTCATTTTATTTATTTTTTTTATTTTTATTTTTTGAGTTTAAGAAAATGAGTAAAAAATGCAGGAAAGAATTGGGAGGAGACTTCCCTTTTGGGTTGATTATTGTAGCATAGCTATTTCTAACCCTTGCGCATTTTCTTTTGGTTGCACCTGCTTTTTGCATGGTTGCTTTGGATTGCAACTGTTTCAATTTTTCAAACAAAGAACAACGGTTAGTTTGAAATGGTGGTCGGTTTTGTGGCCTTCATTATTTTTGATCACTTAATCTCGGCCTAGATCTTTTGGTGAGAACCTCTGCTGCTTGCTGAAGATTGATCTCTCTCCTAAAATCGAGGAACTCAACTTTTCAAACTTTCCAAACGACGGTTCAACCATGCGGGGCTTTGTCCCTTTCACTTTAATCCACCTCTAGGGCTTTGACTTCGAATTTCTTTTCATTTTCAATAACTCTGGTTTTAGAGCATCGGCT